CCTGCCTCTCTCCCTCCTGCCACTGGGGACTAACAAAGAAGTGTTTGCTGCTCAGCTGAAAGGAGCATGTTCTGGGGGGAAAGGGACAGGAACAGGGGCGTGTGGGGAGTGGCAGTAAGTGTTGCGGCCACGGCCCGTTGTGCGAGTTATGGCTGCCGGTCTCCACCCAGGGTAGACGGTTGCCACTCTGCAGGATAGTTCCTGGCTGAGGACCTGGGCATCAATAGGCCTCTGGAGCTTCAGACAAATGATGAGTCACTGGGGCATGTGAGTAACTGGTGGGGAAGGACCTCTGGACCCTGCGGTGGAGCCGTCCTCTCCCTGCTTGGAGTCTGTCTGTCCACCTGGGACCTACTGTTCAGAGCTTTCTGACGAGCCTGTGCACCTGCCTTACCATCTGCTCCTCTGGCCTTCAGCCGAACCCCTAGAGCGACTTTCTGCACAGACCAGGAGGAGGCACCGCATCACCCAGCTTCGGGGTGCCCTCAGCCCAGAGACCAGGCGTGCTGTCACGGAGTAGAGTGGACGAGTCAGAATCTGCCAGAGGGGCAGACCCAGACCGGCCAGCTTCCCGTGAACTCTGCTGACCGCACCGGTGGTTCCACTCCTGAGTGTTTGTGCTGAGAACCAAGTTCTTGGGGAGAAAAGGAAGTCAAGTGGGCACTCTAGAGACCTGCTGCCTGGAAGCCGGAGGCCACCCACTTGTGTGGGGTCCGGCAAGACGGATTCATTTTCTTTGGTGGAGACAGTAGGGGATTTGATATCAAGGCGCTAGCTTAACTAGGTCGGGGAGCCGTGGGCCACTATGGAAGCTTTGATGGAATCTGGGGTCCTGTGGAGCCTCCTGCTGGAGCAGGACAGCCTGACATTGTGGAGGTACCTGAAGAAGTTTGACGACCTTCCCACCGGTACTGAACACTGTTGCTGGCACGGATCTGAAGAAATCCCAGCCGTGAGTGCGTGACCTCTTTTCTCTGTGTCTGTGTAACAGTTCTGCTCTTGTCAGTCCCCACTTAGCTGTGCCACCCAAAAGTCCAAGATGTGAAGGTCCTTGAGCCAAAATTCCTTGGCTATTGTAACTGACAAGCAGGTGAACCCTAACTCAGGTTTGCAGCAGATACTTCTAGAGAGACGCATGGAGGGCGTGTAGACTCAATGGTCAAGAAGAGTGTATGCTGGTAGCTGCAAGCATGCGGATCTATTTTATGTCTGTACCTTTTCATCCCTGGGAGGGAAAGGTCGCTGGTGCCTTAAGGATTCTCCACTATAAAGAGGGATTGATGGGTGCAGGACCGGGCAGTGTTTCGTTCTGCATGGCCATTCACCACCACCACTGGTTTACACCAGAGGCCAGGGCTGCATCGGCCCTCCTCTTCTCCTCTCCTCTCCTCTCCTCTCCTCTCCTCTCCTCTCCTCTCCTCCTATCCTCTCCTCTCACAGGACACTCTCTTCTCCTCTCCTCTCCTCTCC